ACCCTACCCAAAACCCTAGACCCTAAAAATCAATCAGGCTACAATCCTAAGCTCTACCTATCGTCTCCATTGCAGTTCCCTTTTAGGTTTAACCAACTCTACATCATAAGATCTTAACCATAAAATTGGTTAAGCAAAAAGGAACTACCCTAAGCCCTAGACCCTAAACCCTAACCCCTGAACCCTAAACCGTCAACCCTAAACCCTAAACCCTAAACCCTAAACCCCAACCCCTAAACCCCAAACCCTATAAACCTCTCGAGGCCTGGAGTTGGCAGGGGACTGAGTACCGTATCTGCAGCGAGGACCCGACTGCAGGGATTAGTTTTGAGGGGCTTAGGCTTTACCTGGGGATCCAAAATCCTACCGTTTTAAGGGTTCTACCCTCTAATTAAGGGGTCATGACCTACTATTTTGTAGGGTTTGGGTCACAGGTAGGCCTTAGAGCTCAGGGTTTTAGGGCTTACGGGTTAGGGGTTGTTCTCGTGGGTTTGCTCAGGAGGGAGGAGGGGCTTGGGGCCTGGGGTTGAGTTCAGGGTGTAGGACTTGTTCAAGCATGTAGGGTTTCGTTTGGGTTTTGGGGGTGTAACGGACTTAAGTTTTTTTGTTTAAAGGGGGGTTACGCATCAAGGCCTTCTGGTGGAGGTTGGGGTGCTCTAGGGCTAGTGGCTATCGGGGTTGGGGTTTGTGACTTCGGGATTGTAGGTGTGCCCTAAACCCTAAACCCTAAACCTTAAGTGTGTGACTTAAAACAAAGCCGACCTTTAAACTGCGAGGAAGTCTACGGCTACATCTCGGCGGCTTCTTCGATTGGTATCAGCTTCTTCTGGATAGCTGTACCATGGCTCTTGCTAGGGTGCCTTTATTGTTTGATGCTTTGGTAATTGGGTCGCAGAAACGACTCAAGGACAGTGGTGTTTCGGGTAAGTTGTGTTGGAAATCAGTGGTTCGGGTTGTCAGGATTCATGATGAGCGCTTGGCATTGTTGCTCGGCGATTCGTTGTTGCAGGTCCCTGCAAGTTGAAGTGCTCAAACCATGCACAAGACCCTTTAGAACAACCGATGGCATTCTCCAAAAGCTCTCACCAACTACTCTAAGCAAGAGATCACAGCCAGTCGGCCCTAACCCCTAAGCCCTAAGCCCCTAAACTTTTAAATGTTCTAACTCCTAAGACCCTCAATCCGTAAATCCCTCTGCCCGAAAGTCCCTGAAGCAAAGGTCTCGGCCTTCGTTCCTCTATCCGAGACCCCTAAACCTCTGTAGCCTTGACCCTAAACCCTAAACCCTAAACCCTAAACCCTAAACCTTGAAAAGCTCAAAGCCTTCAGCCTTCACCTGAAGCCCTCGAAGCCTTAAGGGTTTTTGGGGGTTTAGGGTTTTGGGGTTTTGGGATAAAGTCCTCAATCTTGAAATTCCCCATACACAAGCCCAACGAAGCCCGAACTCCTAAACGTGAAGGTTTCAGGCTTTGTTGTTTTTTGGCTTTTGGGTTGGGATTTAGGGTGGTCTGTGGCCTGAACAGTGGCCGAAAGCCCAGGTAATCTACAACTTCTGCTACTACTACTGCGGCTGCTGCGCAAGCTCTGTGCAACTGTCAAACCCGAACGCTCTGGAGTGATCGCAGAGAGCCAATCGACCTTAACAGGGCAAATACCGGGCATATAAGAGTTTTAGGCTTTAGAGTTTAGGGTTTAGGGGTTTAGGGTTTATGCTTGATGCCTCAAGTTCTTAATTTTTTTAACGAAAACCTTTAGAAAGTTTACTTAGAGCGCTCCTTAACTTGATGCAAGCTAACCTTTTATACAGTGTCCCCAAGCCTGGGCCCCAAACGCTGAACCCTAAAGTTTGGGGGTTTAGGACGGCTGAGTTGTCTCCACTGTCTTATCGTGTTCCCCTTTTGGTTGGGATGCAAATGCCTAATCTTTCAGCCATGTGCGTATGCATGTATACATGTACCAGCATGCATGAATGCATGCATGGGTAGCTGGTTTGTTGGATGGCTGGCTGGCTGGATGGATGGATCTGTGTATGCATATATGTATTATCTCTGTCTGCATGTAAGCATATGTAAGTATGTACGTGTGTATGTACATGTGCGCGTGTCTGCACATGTTGTATATGCATAGATACGTATAGTTATGTTGTCTGTATGTTTGTATGCGTGCATAAGCCTATAAGCCCCCCATCAACAAATCTTGAACGCCAAGTTTCGTAGACACTAGACCCACAAAACAATAAGCCCACGGCCATATGTTAGACTGTTAGAACATGTTAGAACTGTTGCAGTCTACAAAAACGTCGTCCGCTGTTGAAAGATACAGGCGTAGGCGTAGGACGTAGTAACTGGCCGAAGCGCCGGTGACGCCGAGCTTTCCCGGTGTGGCTGCATCTCAGAAATGAGAACCTGAAGCTAAGATGTGAACTCCTGGGCTGTCTTAGGGATTGGGATTGTAGCGTCTTGAGCTCATGTGCAAGGAAGGCTTTCTGGGCACAGTAGGGGCTTGGTAACGGATAAGCATCGCGGCCGAACAATGAGTACCACTAGTCCTGAGTCTCCTCCCCCCAAACCATCCCCTCCCCACCCCGCGCTTCATCGCAAAAGACCTAGCATTCATAAGTTATCAGATTCCAGACCTGTATTTTATCCCCGAGGGTTTCTGGATTCTCGATCTTTACGGCTCTATGAGCGGCACCATGAACACATAGAAGCGGTGAGCTTGAGCCCAGGGCTTTGAACCTATCGTTCAGTTAAGAAACGCCCTTCTGAAAGGTTCTATGGGTTTAGGGTTTTAGGGTCTAGGGGAGTATTGCACGGTCCAGCTGTAGAGGGGTTCTGCTTTAAATGTCCCACATGGTTCCGGGCTTGAGGTTCCGGGATTCGGGTTCTGCACCACGAGAGAGGCAGCTCCGCCTGGGACGGAAGAAGTCTCATAGACCGCGACCGCGAGAAGGAAAAGGGAGGAAGCTAGGCCCCAAAGCTTGGCGGGTGCGCGGGAGCTGCTAAACCCAAACGATTATACATTTTTTGGGTTCAGAGTTGATTAGGTTCGTTTTTGGGTTGATACTAATTTGCCTGTGTTTGAGATTTCGCCTCCCATTCAGAAAAGAACCTAATTAAGCAGTTGGTAGTATATACAGACAGCAGTTGGACCCTTAATCAGATTTTCTTTTCAGAAAGAAAGTAAGACCCTGAGCAAGTGCAGTCTATGTAAGGAAGTAAGACCAAAATCCTTAAGGCCCTACGAAAAATGGCTCAGGCGAACTAAGTTGCAAAGACTCCTCGTCCGGTGGAAGCAGAAGGGCTTCGTCAGTGAGTTTAGCGTTTCTGTGCGGTTTTGGAGATTTTGGGCAAGTTTACAATATTCTCCGTTATGGATAAGGCAGATTTTTCAAGACAGAGCAAGGGGCCCAAACTCTAAATCCTAAGGCCTGTCCACAAGAACCCAAGGTCAGGAAAGTGGTTCCTTGAAAGTGGGCCTGGAGGACGCTCCTTGCCCGGTTTTGCGGCTTAAGGCTTCAGGGTTTAGGGTTTAGGGGTGTAATATAGGGGCCTCAATCATTACCTATACTATGGTGGGGGCTGCTTACTATAGTCATGGTATAATGGGCCCCACAACCCTACCCTACTTATTAAGGCCCCTGCATTAGGGTTTACGGTTTTTGGGTTTAGGGGTTTACTGTTTGGGGCTTCAGGGTTCAAAGCTTAGGGTTTAGGGTTTAGGGTCTCCGGAATTTCAAGATGACTGAGGGTTGGGTTAGACCCAGAGGGTCATACTCAACCCCTCTTTCAGGGTACCTAGTGTCGCCGATGTGTTAGAAGCTGTCATACAGAAATGTGGGTAGTTCTCTAAATAGGGTTCCTTGTCCGGTCCTTCTTTATAAGGATGCCGTACTATATTTGGGCCTAAAGAGGAACCGTAATGTGAACCCATGCAGGTATTCCCCAAGAAGGGATAGGTAGGGTATGACCCAATATGAGTCATTTAGGCCTCTCAGGCGATAGAAGCTGCATTTTAGGGTTTAGGGTTTAGGGTTAGGGGTTTAGGGTTTGGGGGTTTAGGGTGTAGGGGTTTGAGGTTCGGGGCTTGGGGTTTTAGAATTCAGGGTTTAGGAGGGTGTAGGCAACAACAGCTTGCCCAAAAGCCCGACATTTCAACATCCCACACCACAGAATCTCAATCCTAGCCTCCCATGAAGCCCAAACCCGGGACCCTATCTCCTGAAAGCACTTGTTTCTAGCCTGAATGTAACTCCCAATGCCCAAACAGCTTAACCGAACAGTAGAAACTCAAGTCCCTTAATTAGTCTTACAAATGCAAGTTCTACAAGGCTGTTGTAGGGTTCTTCGCTGGTTCTGCCCGGGCTTCGCGATTGTTCGCATCGAGAGTCCTCTATCTATCTGTCTATCTATTTATCTATCTATATGTTTATCTCTCTCTCTCTCTATATATA